CCCAGAAGTGCAGCTCCCGAAGGTTCCAGAGATGAAACTCTCTGAGATGAAGCTCCCGAAGGTGCCCGAGATGGCCGTGCCCGATGTGCACCTCCCAGAAGTGCAGCTCCCGAAGGTTCCAGAGATGAAACTCCCGAAGGTGCCCGAGATGAAGCTCCCCGAGATAAAACTCCCGAAGGTGCCCGAGATGGCTGTGCCCGAGGTTCGACTTCCGGAGCTGCAGCTGCCCAAAGTGTCAGAGATGAAGCTCCCGAAGATACCCGAGATGGCCGTGCCCGATGTGCACCTCCCAGAAGTGCAGCTCCCGAAGGTTCCAGAGATGAAACTCCCCAAGGTCCCCGAGATGGCCGTGCCAGAGGTTCGACTTCCAGAGGTACAGCTGCCCAAAGTGTCAGAGATGAAGCTCCCCAAGGTCCCCGAGATGGCCGTGCCCGAGGTTCGGCTTCCTGAGGTGCAGCTGCCCAAAGTGTCAGAGATGAAACTCCCCAAGGTCTCTGAGATGGCTGTGCCCGAAGTGCAGCTCCCAGAGGTGCAGCTGCCCAAAGTGTCAGAGATTCGGCTGCCAGAAATGCAGGTGCCAGCGGTACCAGATGTGCAGCTGGCAGCTCCCAAGGCACCGGAGGTGAAGCTAAAAGCTGCTGGGGCGGAGCAGGCAGAGGGGATAGAGTTTGGCTTCAAGATGCCCAAGATGACCATGCCCAAGTTGGGGAGGGTGGGGCCTCCGTCCCAAGGCAAACCAGGTGAGGCAGGTGCAGAGGTCTCAGGAAAGCTAGTGACACTTCCCTGTCTGCAGCCGGAGGTGGGTGGTGAGGCTCGTGTGGGTGTCCCCTCTCTCACTCTGCCCTCTGTGGAACTAGACCTACCGGGGGCCCTCGGCCTGGAGGGACAGGTTCAGGAGGCCAAAGTGGGCAAGGTGGAGCAGCCAGAGGGTCCCCAGGTGGCAGTTGGTGTTGGGGAAGTGGGCTTCCGAGTGCCCTCTGTTGAGATTGTCACTCCTCAGCTGCCCACAGTGGAGGTTGAGGAAGGGCGGCTGGAGATGATGGAGATGAAGGCCAAGCCCTCCTCCAAGTTCTCCCTGCCCAAGTTTGGACTCTCAGGACCAAAGGTGGCCAAGGCAGAGGCTGAGGGGGCTGGACGAGCTACCAAGCTGAAGGTGTCCAAGTTTGCTATCTCACTCCCCAAGGCTCGGATGGGGACTGAAGCTGAGGCCAAAGAGGCAGGAGATGGAGGCCTGTTGCCTGCCCTCGATCTGTCTATTCCACAGCTCAGCCTGGATGCCCACCTGCCCTCGGGCAAGGTGGAGGTGGCAGGGGCCGATGTCAAGTTCAAGGGGCCCAGGTTTGCTCTGCCCAAGTTTGGGGTCAAAGGCCGGGACGCTGAGCCAGGAGAACTAGTGTCAGGGACAGCTGAGTTGGAGGGCAAGGGCTGGGGCTGGGATGGGAAGGTCAAGATGCCCAAGCTGAAGATGCCCTCTTTTGGGCTGGTCAGAGGGAAGGAAGCAGAAGTCCAGGGTGGACGCATCAGCCCTGGGGAAAAGCCAGAGTCTATAGCTGGGCATCTTAGGATCCCTGAGGTGGAGTTGGTCACCCTGGGGACTCAGGAGGAAGCAGAGGCAGAGGGAGCAGTGGCTGTTAGTGGAGTGAGGCCATCAGGCCTGCAGGTGTCCACGACTGGGCAGGTGGCCACTGAGGGCCATGAGGGGGTGCTGAGGATGCCCCCACTGGGCATCACACTGCCCCAAGTAGAACTAACCGGCTTTGGGGAGGCGGGCACCCCAGGGCAGCAGGCCAAGAGCATGCCCCCTCCAGCAGAGGGCACAGCAGGCTACAAAGTCCAGGTGCCTCAGGTGAGCCTGTCCCTGCCTGGAAGCCAAGTGGCAGGTGGTGAGCTGTTGGTGGGTGAAGGCATCTTCAAGATGCCCACCGTGACTGTGCCCCAGCTGGAGCTGGACGTGGGGCTGAGCCGGGAGGCCCAGGTGGATGAGGTGGCCACAAGCGAGGAGGGGCTGAGGCTGAAGCTGCCCACACTGGGGACAGGAGCCAGGGGAGAGGAGACTGTGGGCCAGCCCCCGGGGGCCGAGCACACCTTCCGCCTCTCGCTGCCAGACGTGGAGCTCTCGCCACCCGCCGTGGGCAGCCACGCCGAGTACCAGGTGGCAGGGGGTGAAGGAGAAGCCGCACAGAAACTCAAGGTGCGGCTGCCCCGGTTTGGCCTGGTGCGGGCCAAGGAGGGGGTCGAGGAGGGTGAGAAGGTCAAGAGCCCGAAGCTCAGGCTACCCCGGGTGGGCTTCAGCCCAAACGAGTCTGCCCCTGGAGAAGGTTCCCCCAGCCCTGAGGAGGAGGAAGAAGAGGGCAGCGGGGAAGGGGCCTCGGGTCGTCGGGGCCGGGTCAGGGTCCGCTTGCCCCGTGTGGGCCTAGCAGCCCCTTCTAAGGCCTCTAAGGGACAGGAGGGTGATGCAGCCTCCAAGTCCCCTGTAGGGGAGAAGTCACCCAAGTTCCGCTTCCCCAGGGTGTCTCTAAGCCCTAAGGCCCGGAGTGGAAGTGGGGACCAGGAAGAGGGTGGCTTCAGGGTCCGGCTGCCCAGTGTGGGGTTTTCTGAGACAGGGCCCACCAGGATGGAGGGGGCCCAGGCGGCTGCTGTCTGAAGCCCTGGGCAGACGGAGACATCCCCTCCCCTCGTTTTGTGTGTGAGTTAACTAGCACTAACCCTCAGAGGGCCAGGAGGTGGGCGACTGACCAGGGCAGGGTGGAGGCCTGTCCTCTGTTCAGCAGGAGTGCCTGTATCATTCCAAGCCATGTGAATAAAATAATCCCGAGGTAGCCATGTGTCCCGTTTCCTGTGTGTGTGTGGTAGGAGTGGGGGTGGTGGGAAGGGGAAGAGAAAGGAGGTCCTGGTGGGGACCTCCCCAACCTGAGGGGATCCTCTGGCATGAGAGAGAAACAGGCCACCTCTGGTCTTAGAAGAGGCAGGTAGCCCTGGTGGAGGGCGCCTGCTCTCGCCCTTCAGAATTCCCAGAGGCCTTTGAGGAGGGCGCTGGGGAGCTCCCTAGCAGAGCACAGCAGTGGATCAACCTCTCTGCCAGGGAATCTGCCGTCGGGCGGGGGGGGGCCCACTCCTACAGGACGGCTGCTGCCCGCTGCTCACCGCACACCTCTGTACACCCTGCCTTCTTTCCTGTCAGGCTGGTTCTACTGCCCCACCCAGCTGGCCCCACCCAGGAAGGCCTGTCTTGGTCTCCTCTTCAGAACTATGGGCTCAGAATCTCCACATCAAGCACCTGGCTGCCTCTTAGGACTGGGTCCTGGGATCCTCAGCACCTCTCAGTGCTGAGCCTTGGGATCATAGGCCGTCCACCTCCCTGCGCAATCCCCACTCAGGATCTAAGCCCCCCTAGGGCCTCCATACTATAGCCCCCCGCCCCCCCCTCCCGTTGCGTGCTGGGTTTGCCTCCCACTTTATCTGCCCCCCAGCACACACTGGGGCTTCTCTGTGGCTTCACCTGCAGTTTTTTCCAACTTCCCAGGGAAACTTCTATCTTCTGGCCCTGGCTCTTGTCTCTCTTCCCCACTCCTCTTTCTCCTCCTGCCCCTGGGCCATCAGGGCTCCTACGAGGTCCTGGACCACCCCCACTCCCTCTCTGGGCTGCGTCCCCTTCCCCTGTGGTTTCTATTTATTTATGTGCAAGCAACTCCCAGACTCTCTCCTGCATCCACCGGGGGAACCAGTGGCCTCTGCAGCCTCCCCTTGGACACTCAGAGACTGTGAGGGTGGTAGTTCAGAGCTTGCTGTCGGCAGGGTCAATCAATGCCTGTCTCTGGCACCCAGTTGAGGGACTTTTTAGGTATTTTAAAAACCTCTTTGCCGGGCACAGTGGTGCACACCTGTAATCCCAGGGACTCAGGAAGCTGAAGCAGAAGAGTCACAAGTTTGAGGCCAGCCTCTGCAACTTAGACCTTGTCCCCAAACAAAAACTAAAAGGGCTGGGGTGTGGTTCAGTGGTTAAGCATCCCTGGGTTCAATCCCTGGTACCATAAAACAAACAAAAACTCCACGTCTTTGTGCCTTGATTCTCTCTTCCCTGCAATTCCTACTCTATTACAGGTTTAAACACCTTAATGTTTACTCTGTAATCTGGCCCCAGCGTCTTCTCCCCCAAACTGCTCCATGTTCCTTTCTCAGATACTTCCCTGGGCCTTGTCCTGCACAGATTCATCCTTTCCCCCCAACCTGTCTGTCACACGGCCTGTCCTTTTGTACCCTTCCCAAACCTTTCCCACCTGGGCCCTGCCCTGGACTCCTTCCTGGGTTTGGGTCCTCCACTCTTGCCCCTCCACTTTGTTCTCGACACTCAGATCTGACCGTACGCTTCCTTGCTCAAAGCCCTTCTGTGGCTCCCCAGTACCCTAGGAATAAAATCCAAACTCTGTAGTCTGTATCCAGGACCTTCTACAACCTGGCTCTGCCCCAGCCACAGCTCTCAACCACAGGTGTTTTCTGGCCACAAATACGCGTGCACACATACACACGCACATACACACACACGCGCGCGTGCACACATACACACGCACACGCACACACATCCCCTTAACAGGAAAAGTCTGCCTCTCTCCCTTGTCTGTAGGTACACCCCGATTCCTGCAGACTCCAGGTCCATGATCTGAGTCCTTCTCGGTCAACCCTTCCTCAGCCAGCCTCTCTAGGGTTCCACCACTGGGTGGGGGAGGGGGCCCAGCCTGGCACCCCACCCCCACTCCAGCTGAGGGCTCAGGTCTCCAACAACAGAACCAGAGGCACTCAGCAACACTGGAACCCATTTGGGGGGCCTGGGGCCCCTCATCCCAAGCCGGGAGGGCTTTGGGGGAGGGGTGCAGCCCCTGGTAGACTTGTTGTGTGGCCAAAGGGGCCGAGGGGTGCCAGGGAAGTGGGGACCAACCTTGTAGGGGAAGGCACGAGTGCGGTTCTCTTTCCCCCACTGGGGGGGCCACGGGGCCGTTGGAGGGGTGGGAGACCTCGGAGGCAGAGCCTTTGGTTCCGGGGTCGGGGCAGGACAGCGTGTGTCAGCAGGGGCACCATGGCCACCATCCAGTCGGAGACCGACTGTTACGACATCATTGAGGTGCTGGGCAAGGGCACCTTTGGGGAAGTGGCCAAGGGATGGCGGCGAAGCACGGGTGAGATGGTGGCCATCAAGATCCTCAAGAACGACGCCTACCGCAGCCGCATCATCAAGAACGAGCTGAAGCTGCTCCGCTGCATGCGGGGCCTGGACCCCGACGAGGCCCACATCATCCGCTTCCTCGAGTTCTTCCACGACGCCCTCAAGTTCTACCTGGTCTTCGAGCTGCTGGAGCAAAACCTCTTTGAGTTCCAGAAGGAGAACAACTTCGCACCCCTCCCGGCCCGTCACATCCGGACGGTCACCCTGCAGGTGCTCAGAGCCCTGGCGCGGCTCAAGGAGCTGGCCATCATCCACGCCGACCTCAAACCCGAGAACATCATGCTGGTGGATCAGACCCGCTGCCCCTTCAGGGTCAAGGTGAGTGCAGCTGCGGGGGGTGGGGGGACACCCTTGTGACATGGAGGTCTTTCTCATCTCAGCTCCTGGACTCGAGGTCTCCTGACCCTCTTCATGCTGTCACCCCTCCCTGCTGGCCCCACATCCCCCCATCTCTCCATCCCAGACCTGAGGCTTCCCCTGCGCCTCCTGCAGGCCCTGACGTATCCCCATCCTGTTCCAACCTCAGTCCCTCTGGTCCTGTCCTGTCGTTGTGGGGATGCCATTGTTGTGGTAGACAGAGTCACCATCCTCTCCGGGAACCAGGTCCCAGTGGTCGGGGCTCTGAATTCAGATTAGTAACCACTTCATGACGCTGCTGTCTGGGGATGGACCGTCAGGAATAGCTCAATGAAAAGAACCTCAGAGGGAAGTCAGGGCCTCAACAGAGACAGAGAGAGCAGCTGTCCAGGTTGACCGCCAAGCACCTGTCATGTACCCAGGGCCCGTGGGGGTGGTCAGCAGTGCCTGGCGGTGAAGACAGAAGACCCGGCCTTCAGGGTGGTGGTGTCCTTCTGTTGGGTGACATAGAGACAAAGATAGAGAGGGACACAGAGACAAGAGACAAACCATGCAAGAAGCAATTGCCAAGGGGTGTGGCTAATGTGGAGCAGCAGCCTGGCGGCATAGACTCTGGGTTCCTTTCCCGGCACCGCAGGAGAAGAGAGAGAGGGAGGATTGAAGAACGGCAGGCAGGGAGGTGAAGCCCCGTGTTCATATACTCCCTCTGCCGGGCCCCTACTGAATGAGTACCAGGCACTTTCTAGGCCTCTGCAGATGCTGCACTGAACAAAACAGACAAAATCCTTGACCTCGTGGGCCTGGCCTCTTTAGTTGGGGAGAAAAACACAATGAACTTGATGAAAGAGTAAAATAATGTGAGATGGTGTTAACAGTAAGAGCAAAAAGCAGAGAGCTAGGAGGGGGAGAGAGTGGCAGGAGGCCTCACGGAGAAGGTGACGTTGAGGAAAGACCTAAAGGAGGTGAGGGAGCCTCGTGGACATGTGGCGCAGAGCATCCAGGCAACGGGAAGTGGTTCAAAGGCCCTGAGCGGGGGGACATGTCTGGCTTAAGGAACAGTGAGGAGGCCCATGTGGCTGGAGGAGGGTGAGTGGGGTGCAGGTGAGGGCACGGAGTGGCAGGGGCAAATGTTGGAGCTTGGTGGAGAAGGAGGAGGATTTCAGCTTTTATCAAGGGACGTGGGTGTAGGCAGGAGATCAGACTCAAGTGGGCAGATGGAGGGTGGACAGGTGGTGCAGGGAGACCAGCGAGGAGGCCGGGAGGGGACCAGGGTGGGGACTGTGGATGGAAGGCAGAGTAAGCAGATTCTGGGTTGGTTTAGAAGTGGAGCCAAACAAGGTGTGGGTAAGGGGAAGAGGAGCGCACTAACCCTCAGTCATGAAGTCTGTTTTCCTCTTGGTGCTGGAGATGGAACCCAGGGCTTCGCATGTGCTAGGCAGGTGCTCCACCACTGAGCTACATCCCCAGCCCTGGGCACAAGTTCTAGTGCAGAGAGTCAGACACAGAGCCAGACACACAACCGGACAGAAGGGCTGGAAGACAGGAACATCCATGGGGAAGGAAGTCTCACTGAGACAGAGTCCAGAGCTGGGTGCAAATGGACTCCAGGTGAGAGATAGCAGGGGAGGCGCGGAGGGCTGTCTGCCACTCCCCTGCCACCTGCTCCTCCTCTCAACAGGTGATTGACTTTGGCTCAGCCAGTATTTTCAGTGAGGTGCGCTACGTGAAAGAGCCGTACATCCAGTCTCGCTTCTACCGGGCCCCTGAGATTCTGCTGGGGCTGCCCTTCTGTGAGAAGGTGGATGTGTGGTCGCTGGGCTGTGTCATGGCTGAACTGCACCTGGGCTGGCCCCTCTACCCCGGCAACAACGAGTATGACCAGGTGCGCTACATCTGTGAGACCCAGGGCCTGCCCAAGCCACACCTGCTGCACGCCTCCCGCAAGGCCCACCACTTCTTCAAGCGTAACCCCCACCCTGATGCCACCAATCCCTGGCAGCTCAAGTCCTCAGCTGACTACCTGGCTGAGACCAAGGTAGGGGGGGAGGTGGGGTGAGGGCAATCAGTGGAGGGGGACTGCTATATCAAGAACAATCTTGGTTAGACCTCAGGGAGGACTAGAAGATTGGGGCATCAGCTATGGGGCTTGTCATGGCAAGAAAGATCTGGGTGAGACCAAAGGTGGGACTGGAAATATGGCTCTGGGCTCAGCAACTTGTGTAGCATGAGGGATTTGGGTTAAGCCAAACGTGAGATGTGGGGTTTGGTGAGAGAGTTCCAACAGAAAGAGGCATGTGAGAGAGACCCCAGGTGGGCAGTCCATTTGCTATCTCTATGGTGTCGTCATCATACCTGCGTAGCAAGAGAATCTGGGTTAGATGGCAGAAGGGACCAGAAGTTTGAGGCCAGCTTAGGAGCTTTCATAGCCAGAAGGATCCGGGTGAGATCAAAGGTGGTTCTAGGGGTTGTCAAACTAGTGTGTACGAAGGGTCTGGATTTGACCCCTGAGAGGTCTGGAGGGTTGGAATCAGATGTGGAGGCTGCAGCAGCAAGAGGATCTGCATTTGATTCCAGAGAGGACTAGAGGTTTAGGGCAACTGCTGGCAGGGGCTGAACCCATGGCTCTGGAGAGGGCTGGAGGTCTGGGGTGAGGTGTGGAGCTTGGGTCATGGAGCGCTCTGGGTAGGTCTCAGCAGGACCAAAGAGCACATCGTCAGGTGTCCTTCTGGCAGCAGCAGGAGAGGTCTGGATTAGACAGGAAGGCATCTGGTGGGATGGATCAGGTGTCTCTGACTTGGCAGCCCGAGAGCCCCAAATCAGATCATGGGCAGAACTGGGAGTCCGGGGTCATATGTAGGGCAGGGGCATGTCTGGGGCTCCGGGCCTGATGCAGGTCAACCCCACGTCCCCCATGCTCCACCAGGTGCGTCCCCTGGAGCGTCGCAAGTACATGCTCAAGTCCTTGGACCAGATCGAGACGGTGAATGGTGGCGGGGCTGCCAGCCGGCTGACCTTCCCGGACCGGGAGGCGCTGGCCGAGCACGCGGACCTCAAGAGCATGGTGGAGCTGATCAAGCGCATGCTGACGTGGGAGTCCCACAAGCGCATCAGCCCCAGTGCGGCCCTGCGCCACCCCTTCGTGTCCATGCAGCAGCTGCGCAGCGCACACGAGACCACGCGGTACTACCAGCTGTCCCTGCGCGGCTGTCGCCTCTCGCTGCAGGTGGAGGGCAAGCCACCCCCGCCTGTCATGGCCACCACAGAGGATGGGCCCCCTTACTACCGGCTGGCCGAGGAGGAGGAGGCCGTGGGCATGGGCAGCGTGGCGGGCAGCGGGCCCTTCTTCCGGGAGGAGAAGGCTCCGGCCGTGCAGAGAGCCATTGACCAGCTGGACGACCTGAGCCTGCAGGAGGCCGGCCGCGGGCTCTGGGGGGAGACCCGGGCCGACGTGGTCTCTGACATGCTGGCCCCGCTCAAGGCGGCCACCACGGGCCGCGGGGTCCCCGACTCTGGCCCAGAGCCCATCCTGGCCTTCTATGGCAGCCAGCTAGCAGGACGCCACAAGGCCCGCAAGCCGCCCGCGGGCTCCAAGTCCGACTCCAACTTTAGCAACCTCCTCCGGCTGAGCCAGGCCTCGCCCGAGGACGATGGGCCCTGCCAGGGGAGTGGCTGGGAGGAAGGCGAGTGCCAAGGGGCCTCTGCGGAGCCGCCTGCCATCCCACAGCAGGAGGGAGATGGACCCAACATCAAGGACATGACCATGGACGCTGAGGTAAGCCAACGGTGGGCGGTGGGCAGTGGCTCTGGCCAGGGCCTCCCCAGAGCTGGCTCCAGGGTGGGGGCGCAGATCACCGGGCCTGGCCTTCCACACACCTCTCGGTGGTGCAGACACCCACTGACCCACCCTCAGGATGTGGGGAGACCGGGCACACACTAGCCCATGTTCAGGACACAAGGACCAGCCAACGTGAGGCCACCCTTACTCTTGAGGCTCAGCACACACGAATGCCCTCAGGACAGGACAAGGCTCCACCATACTGTCCCACCTTCACGCTGTGACCCAGTAACCTCCTATGAGAAGCCACGACCCAGACTGGACAGGCCCTTAGTGCGTCTTGTCCCTCTCAGGAAAGTGGGACTGAGGCCCAGCAGACACCAACACTTCTTGCTGATGCCCCTCTCTTGTCCCCACAGAGGTCAGGCCCTGAGCTCTTCGACCCCAGCAGCTGTCCTGGAGAGTGGCTGAGTGAGCCCGACTGGACCCTGGAGGGAGTCAGGGGGCCACGGGCTCAGGGGCTCCCACCCCGCCACCCCCACCCACATGGTCCGCCCCGGGCCACCAGCTTTCTGCAGCACGTTGGCGGGCACCACTGATGGCAAGGCCCCCCCTGCCTGCGGCTGGGGGCTGCACTGGCTGGGCTGGCATCCCTCTGATCTGAACTGCTCCACAGTGCCACCCCTGAATCCACAAATTATTCTTACAGAAAAGATGATTATCCAGAAATCCCCCATACCCCCTCCCACAGCGCATGCCTGTACCACCACCCATAGGTGGCCCTAAGGGCCTGGCTCATGGCCCCCTTGGCCAGGGACGGCAGGAAGAGGGTTGCACCCCACTGGCCCTGAGCTCGCCCTTGGCCCCGCTGCCTCCGTGTAGTTCAATAAAGAAACGTTCAACAGTCCTGCCTCCCCGTCCTCACTGACTGAGGCCTCTCCAGTCCAGGGTGGGGTCCTCAGCGGGCACCCAGGACCTGACTCTGCCATGCTCTGCCCAGGTGGCTCATACAGCAGGCTATGACTCTGGGAGGAGGAGGCTTGGATACTAACCCATTCCCTAAATATGCTGAGCACCAGGCACCGGGGAACCTCCCCCCAGAACACCCTGTGTTCAGCACAACTAGTCCGAGCTTACCAAACACAGAGGCCCCGGGGAGCCTCGCCCCTCCTTATGCTCTGGGCCGGGCATGCACTTACCTGTGCTTGGCACATGCTAGGTGTGAATTTACCTGGCAGGCAAAGGTTCAGGTTTGGCCCACACTCCAGCATCCAGCATGCTGGTCCCCCTTGGGATAGGGGATAGTTCAGACCAGGCTGATCACCTGGGAGCATGCTCAGTGTGTAGCACATGCTTCCCCATGCTGGCTACCCAGGTGCTCGGTCCGTGCCAGCCCACATGGTCACGCCGCATGCTCAGCACACGCCAGCCCATGTGTGATACATGCCAAGGGCTCGGCACACGCCAGGCCACACTGGTCACACGCTGAGGGCTTAGCACATACCAGCCCACACACGTGGTAAACCAAGGGCTCAGTACATAAGATGTCCCCAGCAGAGGCCCATGCCAGCTGTCCCCTGCCCTACACTCCATCGTCCAGCACTCAGTCAGGCACAGGCTATACAGACAATTATTTACTTGTTATTATAATCTTGGGCCCTCTTTGGCCTGGAAAGGGGGGTGGGCCAGGGGTCCAGGCCCAGCATGCACCCCCACTTCTTTGGGGGCTGATCCCTCCCCCAGCTCTGCTAGGTCCCGGAGCCATAGTATCAGGCCACTGGGGGTGGAGGTAGAGGCAGGAGCGCAGGACAGAGCTGTGGAGCCACGATGGGGCAGACAGAAGCGGGGACACGGGAACAGGGACCAGGACCCAGAGCGTCTAGGGCCATGGGGGCCTCGCAGGCCGTGGCCTATCCACTGGATCAGGCCTCACAGCAGGCGACAGGCACTGCCCACACTGTCCGCTGCAGTGTCCAGGTCGTGGCTATAAGGGGAGTCCCAGTCCCTCAGGAAAACAGCCTCCAGCTGGCTGCGCAGGCCACCACGCCCGTTCTGCGTCACCAGCAGCGAGGTGCCCGCTGTCTCCGTGAAGTAGCTGCCAGACCAGTTGGAGGTTCCTAGGGAGGGTAGGGCGCAGAGTAAGGGCCCCATGGTGGCCAGGCCCTGGTGCCCGGACAGTCCCTTCCTCAGTAACTGTGGAGGTGCTAGGGACACTCACCAATGTAGGTGGCACGTTCAGTCACCATGTACTTGTTGTGATTGACACGGGCGTATGGGATTCGAGCCTGGGCTTCATCCGCAGGGACCACAAAGAGTTTCTGTGGAGAATGGGGCAGGGGTAAGAGGGTGGCATGGAGCCCGAGGTGCAGGTCAGGAGCCAGAGAAGCCCTGGGTAAGACGGGGGTGTGTGCAACCAGGTCTTAAGGCCTCGGAGATCCCTGGAGCCAGAGCAGGGCCCCATGTAGTGGGTCCCCAGTAAATGCCAGCTGGAGGGAGGACCTCTTGTCAACGGCAACCCCATTCCCCCAGGAGTGACTCCTGTTCATCCCTGAAATCACGTCTCTGAGGATCTCTCTTTTCTTCCCTCCCTTACTTTTTTTTTTCGGTCCTGGCGATTGAACCCAGAGGTGCTCTACCACTGAGCTCCATCCCCAGTCCTTTTTATTTTTTTGAGACAGGACCGCTTCTAAATTGCCCAGGTTGGCCTTAAACTTGGGATCATCCTGCCTCAGCCTCCCAGGTAGCTGGGATCACAGGCCTGTGGCACCAAACCCAGCTTGATGTCTACTTTTTCAAACAATCTTTGAGGGGTCAATTCTTGACCCCTCAGCCGGAGGCAGGACTTCCTCTGTGTTTCCCTCTCCCAGCCACGACCCATGCTTTCTCCCTCACAGCCTGGTTCACTCTGGGTCTTTCTTGTCAGATGTCACATAAGCCCCACGAGGGCTGAGTCCCTAGCATTGCCCTGCACACAGGCCGAGGGGGTGGTGGGTGGGTGCTTACCACCTGGATGTCGGAGTGGGTATGGTTGTCCCGCAGGGCAGCCAGGGAGAGCAGGAAGGACCGCATGGATGGCTCAGAGTGTCCCCAGCAGCTGATGAGCAGGCGCACCTTGACGCCCCGCTCGTAGGCAGCCCGGCGCAGCCCATCGTCGATGGCAGGCCAGAACCTGGGGGCAGGGCAGAGAGGGGGTGCAGGAGAGCAGCTTTATCCACAGCTTCGCCCTCAGCTTTGGGGAACCAAGCCTGGGCCCTGCATTAGCTTGAGATTCCCCAAACCTCAAGAGCACCCCACTGTGGACTTCAGCTCCCTGCTCCTTCCTCCATCTATCCCTCATCTCCTGCTCCTGGCCATCGTTCCTGCGCCCCCAACCCAGTCCTTTCACCTTATCCTCTGGCTCCACATTACCTTCCTCCAGCCCAGTCATCCCCCGCATCCCAGATCACAACCCGGCCCTGTGCCCCAACCCCAGGACCCCTGGCCTCTTCCCCCAGGCCCTCATCCCTAGTCGAGTTGTGTCCCCTGCTCCCTGGCCCCTCCCCCTGCACTCCTACCTCAGGCCTCCAGCCAGGCCCTGCCCCAGCCCCAATATTCTCATGCTTTTCTCCATCACCCGCCATCCTCCTCTCTGGGAACCCCTTTCTCCTGCCTCAAGCACCTCGGCCCTCTCTCTGTCTCCCTGTGACTTCCCCCGTCTGTCCTCTTGCCTCAGGTTCCTAGCCTGCTCTTGGAGTCCCATCACCCCTCTCCACATGCAGGGGCTCCCTGCCCCGAGCCCTGTCTCTGTGCCCAGTGTTACCTGTGCGGGTGGGAGAACTCCATGGTGGGCAGGTAGTTCATGACCGCAATGTAGATGAAACTCCGGGCGTTGTCCACCACGTTGAGCAGGGCCTTCAGGTCTGGGGTGCGGCCACTTGGACACAGGGGTGGGGGTGCACTCTGGGGGTGAGGGGAGAGTCAAGAAAATTTTCCTGCCAGGGGTATGGTCACAGTGGATCCTGTATAGGGACAGCTCACCATGAGCCTCGTCTTGTAGATCTCACTGAATTCTCAGCCTCCATGAAGGGGAGGGATGCTCACTATGTTTTGAGGGTGAGGAGTCAGGACCAGAGAGGGTAAGCAATTTCCTAAAGGTCACATAGCTGATATATGGAGCCCAGGCTGCCTGGTTCCAGAAATTATGCTTTTCTGATCCAGCAGCAGTAGCATCCTTGGAAACTTGTTCAAAATGCAAATTCTTGTGCCTCTCTGCACACAATATCCTGAACCAGAGTGCTGCTGTGGGGCCCAGGAGTCTGGGTTTTAACAAGCCCTCCAGGTGATTCTGGGGCACATGGTTTGAGGACGTCTGCTCTATTCCACTCTCTGCCCTGCCTCACAGCTGGCTCTGACTGGGCAACTCGATGTCCAGTGCCATCCCAGGCCCTTTGGCTACCTCCTTTAATCCTCGGGACAGAAGAGGAAAGTGAGGCTTTAGAAGGGGAGTGGTCAAGGTGGAGACCTCGACTCAGTGGAGACCACTGTAGCAGAGGACCCCGATGAACCATGCTCTCCACAGTGACTCAGGGCTTGGCCAGGTGACATGCTCAGGGGCACTGAGGGGGATCCAGGTGGTCCCCCAACAACTAGAGGCAACATCAGCAGTTAAAAACAACAGCGCCTTATCTAAAGTGCTCAATATCCGCTACAGGAAAAGTGAGCACTGTCTGGCAGAACCTCTAAGGTGATGGAAATGTTCTTCATCTACATTGTCCACTTGCCACATGTGGCTACTGAGCACTTGAAATATGATTCATGTGACTGAGGATCTTAGTTGTCTGCTATGTTTAAGTCAATTTATTTATTTCAGTACTGGGAATCAAACCCAGAGACACTTAATCACTGACCTTTCTTTTATTTTTTACTTATTTTTAAAATATTTTTTCAGTTTTAGTTGGACACAATATCTTCATTTTATTTTTTGTTACGTGGTGCTGAGGGTGAACCCAGTGTCTCATGCATGCTAGGTGAGCACCCTACCACTGAGCCACAACCCCAGCCCTCTTTATTTTATTTTTATGTGGTGCTGAGGATCGAACCCAGGGCCTCATGTTCAGTTTTACCACTGAACCACAACCCCAGCCCTCTTTTATTTTATAGCTGGCTTTGAACTTGCGATCCTCCTGCCTCAGCCTCCTGAGCCACTGAGATTACAGGTGTGCAACACCACACCTGGCTCTACTTTTAATTAATTTAAACAGAAAGAACTTCCTGTGGCTGTGTGGGACAACACGGAGGGCTTGGTGTGCATGAACCCAGCAGCTATCCCCCACCCAGAGGTTGGAAATACTAGGAGACCCATTTTCTTAATGAAACCAAGGTTCAAGGAAGTTGAGACAGATCCAGGACCCTGGGGAAGCAGAGCGAGCAAGGGTGAGGGCCAGTATCAGGACACCCCTCCCTGAAAATCACCGGGCAGGGCTAGCTGGAGACTCTGGGTGACACACACCAGGATGTGACAGGTCCCACTCTTCCCAGACTCACCGCCAGGTAGGCCAGAGCAGGGGTTCCATTGAGGCAAATCTCCATTGGTGTCTCCTGATTGTATCGGGTATCATAGGGCCGGGGCCAGGTGGATGGAATGGAGCTGCCCGCCTGGCCCAGGAACCAGTAGGCCTCGAAGATCTTGGTCAAGTCTCGAGCCAGGCAGCTGCAGTTGTACATCACTATGCCCAGCTCCTTGACCTGCGGGAGGGCAGTGCTGAGTCCAGGGACAGTAGCCAGGTGCCCACAGCGGACAGGGACACCTCCATCCAGTCTGCTTCTTGGTCTACTCCCCTCTGTCCCTCAGTCTTTCTCCCACCCCTGTGCTGAATAGCTGAGCTCTGCTCACTGTTCCCCCATCCCATCCCACTTAAATTCATAGG